TCAGAGACTTTACCCCCATCATGTAGCCTGCACTTAAAGAGGTCCCTCAACAGTTCAAACTCCAAGGTCTGAGACTGTGAATCATAGAGACTCTTCAAATGCTCCAACATTGCATAGGGTTTCATCCCATCATGTTGCCTCTGCAATTCAGTGGACATAGAGGACAACATGACACATTGAGCCGAAATTTCATCGTCCCCGTGCTTCTTATGAGCAGCATGGTCAAACGTAGCATACTCAGAAGAAGTCTGTTCAGGCACAACGGGTATCTCTGTGTCCAACACATACTCAATCCTTTCTTGCCTTAATACCAAACGCAAATTGCGCAACCAGTCAGGAAAATTCGGTCCAGTCAACTTGTTCGTTTCCATCAAACATTTCAATGATAAGTTCGACATCTTATTCAACCTAGAGAACTATATAGAACATGAATTAAAACAACATGATCACATTCGTTAACTAAATTAACATGGCTTTTAATTAATTTAGCTCCCACTATTTTTACATACTCTACGACCCCTTCAGAAGATTACGGACTCATATCAAATATAGTCATAGTGAGCCAAGATCCACACCCATCCCATTATAGTCCCAGCTAGGGCTGATCACTATAATGTATGTAGTGGTAGGTCTCTAAACCAATTGTAAACAATTACAACTCTTGGTTGATCAAATCTAATTTGATCGACGTCCTTAGATCATTCCGACGCTAGGGCGACAAGAATTAACTAAGTCAAAACCATCACACGATCACAAACATATGTATCTATGAATGAGTCTGAAAATAATCTCATTATTAAAATTAAATATTCCAATCTAATTGAATATTTAACACTCTCGATTCACTCTTAGTCGGAAAATAGATTGCATATTGTGTGACCCTATAGGCCTTCATATATTGACATAAATCTAATTTATGATCATATACTGCGTCTAAGGACAAACTCAAAATATGAAGTACGTTTACATAGACAAAGCAAACAAACATTTGGTGTAGAATTCAATAGTGATATGGTCCCTTCATTCACGAACCACTCGATTAAGCTTATGATTTGAACGTGTGTCTATCCAAACAGCTTAATCATTTTATCTCATCTCATTGGTTGATTTTATCAATTATACTTGAACACCATTTCAAATATAATCACGTGCATTGGCCAATGACTTTATCAACCCAGTATGGAGAAAACGAGTGTTCTCTCGAAACTATATTCGAGGAATGAATCCTATCTTGGTTCAACTACCAATTCCATGTATATCGTGACCTACCCAACACAAGCCCGTATCTACCCATAAGGGTGTAAGCTTTGAACTAGGTCTAAGTAAATCACTCTATACATGAATTGCGTATTGACCTCAAGTCAAAGGACTATTACACCATTCCACACACCGATACTCCCATAGACACATAAACACATGGTTTATCGGTAGGGTATACCAATACTCTTCAAAGTATCTATGTGTCTATCACGAATAACAATTATTCATAGTAGTGAAACATACTATATTCTCAAAGAATGTGATGCAGACCACATGTCAACCTATCATGTATCATTAATATCCCTTTTCTTAATGATCATCGATTGAGGTAATTTAAGAATTATACTCTATCAATTAACATCTCACTCTGTTAATGTCAGTATTAACTCAAGGGAGCCATTAATTAATAAATTACAGACAATCAAAAGAATTCATCAATTAATGCAAAACCATGAATATCATCAAATATAATATGAATGTGATCAAATACATTTTGTCCCAAAATTGATTGTCTCTAGGACACATATACTAACGGAATTATGGTAAATGGAGAGAGCTTAAAACCTGTAAATTTGCATTTTCTTAAAGGAAGAATGCAATAATTAATGGTCCGTGAGTATGTATATGTGTAGATGGTCCCTTTAGAACAAACTTTTCCTTCACATGTTTCCCACTGCAACGTTCAACAAACAAAACAAAACAAAAAACTATTATTAACGGCAGAATGTTGAAATATCATTCTCTTTTCCGTAAATTACCAAGCTGCCCCTCCCCAATAAATTACACCAGCCACCAGGCATGTGAATGGTGTCGTGCGGGATTAACGCCTTAACTGTCGCTGGGCCCCACCAAAAAGGCCAAAAGAAAGGTGAAATCTCAACGGGCCACATGCCCAATTGCATACACACAGACACACAACACAAGTCTCAAACTATTTCTTCTGTTTCACATGCTAAAGTATCCACTTTAATTTACTATTTATACGTACACACACAAACTCTTCTTCCACTACATTTATTTTTCTCTCTCTTTCCTTAGTTNGTCGGTACATTACCTCTCACGCGCCGCCTTAAATCATGGAGGGCCTCCTCGCCTCCTACATTATTATCCTTTTCGGCTCGCTAGCAGCTTTCCCCGCCGCCGCCGCCGCCGCATCCTTGGTCCAAAGGTGGCAGCCGGCGACGGCCACGTGGTACGGCAGTCCGGAAGGTGACGGGAGCGACGGCGGCGCGTGCGGGTACGGCTCCCTGGTGGACGTAAAGCCGTTCCGGGCCCGTGTCGGGGCTGTCAGCCCGGTCCTGTTCAAGGGCGGCGAGGGGTGCGGCGCGTGTTACAAGGTGAAGTGTCTTGACCGTTCCATATGTTCGAGGAGGGCCGCCACTGTTATCATCACAGATGAGTGTCCCGGCGGCTACTGTTCAAACGGCCGTATACATTTTGACCTCAGCGGCGCCGCCTTTGGCCGTATGGCGCTCACCGGCGGCGGAGCCCAGCTGCGCAACCGCGGCGAGATTCCGGTCATCTTTCGCAGGTAATTCATATTTATTTTACTTTTTTGATTGATGTTGACTGTGTTATTTCTCGATTTGACTGTCAGTTATGTTTTTCAGTTTTGTCGTTTTATGTTTAACTTAAAGCCTTGTTTGTTAAGGAGTAATTAGTTGCGGAGTTAATTCCTTTTGGCTCTGTGTGCGTAATTATAGCTAAATAATAAAAAAATTATTATTACTCGGTTAATTCAAAATGTAATGACTTTTTTTTTTCTCTTTCCTAAAATTAGCTTGAAAAATGTGAAAGAAAAACTTTAATTTTTTCATTAAATTCTTAACCTATTTTAAACGGACCTATTATACTTACGTAGAGGATATTTTTATCTGATAAGTTAATAACTAATTCAAAGTTTTCATTTTTTTTTCCTTCTATTTATTTATTTTTATTTTCTTGGCCAGAAATGAGTCCAAAGTTAATAAATAGTAGTGGAGTATACTGACTGGTCAGTACTGTTGGGAAGTACTTTGAAAGTCATTATAACTGTTATCTTGTACAGTGTGACCCACATATCTTCAATGAGCTAGCACCATTGGTTTTAATTTTTTGGGGTAAAATTTGTGGATTATTTTCTTTACTTGTGTACTATGGATATATATGGGTTTTTAATTTTAAATTCTAAAAAAAATATTTTTTGATAAACCTGCACAAATATAATTATATACTCATTTATTTAATTGTTGGTAAATAGCACATCTAACAAAGTAAAGCAACTCACATGAGTTGCTTTATATACGTATGCAGGACAACATGCAAATATCCGGGAAAAAACATTGCTTTCCATGTGAATGAAGGATCAACTGATTATTGGCTGTCACTTTTAATTGAATTTGAGGATGGAGACGGTGATGTTGGATCCATGCACATTAGAGAGGTAAATCTAAACCATATACAAAAATAAAAAATAAAAATAAAATCTAAAGCATATATTCCACTAATCTCTCTCTGTCAAAATTCTTGTTCCTTTGGTTTTGGGAAAGGGGAAAAAAGTTGATCAAGTTAGGTATAATTGGGACCCTACAATATCACTTTTCAGTTAACTAATTATCCTACAGTCAAAAGAAACTNAAAAAAAAAAAAAAAAAAAAGCTTTTTTCTCCTTGGAAGGATTGCGTGGTCTTCACTTTGGCAATTATATATGTAGCTAAAAGAGAAACTCCATCTTTTGCATTGCTTTAGAAATTCCAAGAATCATTCATGAAGATGAAAACTAATTCCAAATATATAAAATATGCCAACTCCTTTAATCATGTGATATGATCCCCCTCAAGTTGAGTCACAACTTTATATATTTATATATATACATCTTTCCTTTAAAAGATAGTTATTAATTTAAGTGCTTCACATGTGTTTGGGACATCCACGATTGTGGCAAGACATGGGCCCCACTTCAATTGGACAGCCATTCCAGCATACATTAACTAACTAACTAACTAACTAACTAATAATTATAAAAGAAAATAAATAAATTTGTGTAATGTGGCATGCTAATGCTATATATGCAGGGTAACTCGAAAGCATGGCTAGAAATGACACACATATGGGGCGCAAATTGGTGCATCATTGCTGGGCCTCTACAAGGCCCATTTTCAGTTAAGCTCACCACACTGTCCACTGGAAGAACACTATCTGCTAGAGATGTCATCCCCAGGAATTGGGCTCCCAAAGCCACATACACATCTCGTCTCAACTTTTTCTAATCATTATGTCCATTGTGGACTCTGGTT